CTTTTGAGACTGAGCCCTGTTTCATCAGTGTCAGGCTTTAGGACATGGGTTCTTCTGTCCTTTGGCCATCTAGAATGATTATGCAGAGCCCTGGCTGTGCTCAGTGGAGAATAGTCAGGGCAGTCACTGTCTCTTTTAATTTCAGATTCTGGGAGCTGCAAAGTTCAACCCGGGTGCAAGGAAACTAGGTAATTTTGACCCTTCACAGGCATTGAAATCCATGTTAGTTTTACCAATGTCATTGCCTTAAGAGTAAGTGAAGAGCCACATAGTGGGGCAGGTGATGGAAGAGATGGAAAGTAAAGCTGTAATTTTTTTCAGGGATATGGTGAAGCATATGGAGGAAAAAGGGAAACAATCGGGACAAGTCTCTGTGCCAAGTTTCCAATCTCATCTTCTGAGAAAGCAAAGGCTTTTAAGGATGGCACCATGCTAAGGTTCTTACCTACTGCACTGCCCTAAAACTTCCAAGTTAATTTACAACCTGAAAGCTGTGAGATTTTTAACAAGCAAGTTGAGTAAAGCTCTGTAGGGCATGGGCTGCCCATGCACTTTGGGTAAGTGCAGGAGCTGTCCCATTTGGCCTTGCACATCAGAACCACTGTAACCAAGGAGATCCCATCTGATGCTGTGGTGAAACCAGGAAAAATGGAAGTCCAACAAACAGCTCTATGGCTACAGGAAATGAACCACCAGCATTTTCACTCGTCAGAATGATGATAGCCAGGCTTTCTGTGGGATGTAAGTGCCAGCAGTATGTTACGTGAATATTCTTATCACATCCACCTAATTGCATTTTTTTTTTGGCAATCCTAAAGACTTGGAATGTGACCCAGAGCAGTTTTCCATACCGTGCCAGCACATGGCAGCCATTCCCATTGAAATCTGACATCTCCCATGTGTCAGCTTCTCCAAGCCAGGCACATCCTGAAATCCTGCATCTGTCCCCATGGCCTGGGCAGTGGGGCTGTGCTGATGGACACCCTGTCCCCTGCAGTGC